CATCGCGACGGGCAGGGTGCAAAATGCAGGGTGGAACATAAAAGACGACTGCCTGGCCGACGGAAAGCGCAGATGGCCCTGACATTCGTCACCAGTCCGCACGCAGTTCGCCTCCCGCCAAAGGGCACGCGCCACATTTGCTTCGAAACCGAGTCTGCGTGCCCGTGCGCGCGTCTGCAGGAAGAAAACGCGGCGCCTCCTCGAAACTACATGGAACTGCATACAAATAGGCTACCACAGACTCGACACGCATATCTAAAACTGTGTATGCAAAACTGTTGGGTGAAAGAAGAATAAAGCCTGTTGCGACTGTTGCTGCAGGGTAGAAAATGTCTATTGGGCGATTGCCTGCGCTGTCGCCAGTCGGAGTATAGTTATCTTACACTTAAACCATGTAGATAGCTTCTATCATTACAACAACAACAACAACAACAACAACAACAACAACAACAACAACAACAACAACAACAACAATAATAATAATAATAATAATAATAATAATAAGTAGTAGTAGTAGTAGTAGTAGTAGTAGTAGTAGTAGTAGTAGTAGTAGTAGTAGTAATCGATGAAGCATGCTCGCGTACTCCTCGGATATCGCCCATCTTGTAAGAACATTTATTACAAAGTATAGTACACAAAGTACAATAGACACAAGTAAGGGGCAGGGTTGGCGAAAATGCAAATTAATGCCTGACAAGGTGCCGTAACCCGTCCCAGACTATAAAGCGCAAAAAAAGCAGTAATGTACACATAATTTAAATGTTTTAACAAAGAAGCAGCCGCATTTACAAATTTTTTATAAGAACTTATAAAAAAACGTTAGATGAACATTTTATTAAGTACAGACCTGTCTGCAAGACTGAGTTTATAGCAAACAAAGCAAGGAATATGTGAAGAAACCCAAATTTATCGAATAACCAACCAATTTATTAGAACTCATTAATGAAAACGTCCCGAGCGTATACACTTCAATTATAAATACAACCTGTGTGAGACCGCAGAAAGAGGAAAAATTATTCTTGGAGCCCTACTAGATATGTGTGTATCTTTTTTTTTTAATGCAATTAATGAGCGGCTCTCTTGCACTATGGTGGTAATTGCGGGATGTGCATTTAATAGTTTAGGGAGTGAACTCGTTCACTTCAAAAAGCAAATATTTGCGCGTGGCTGTTTTCTTTCCCTAACGATATACTACACTTCCATGCAACTGATGGTAATATCGTGTCATTACACTCGCTATCTGCTGAGGTGCACCATTTGCTCTTGCCATTTTGCCGCGGCGAAAAACTGCGCTTTCTCGTGATCTCTTCAGGAGCAGTCTAAACTGCGAATCTGCAACGAAATGGCCCTCACTGACGTCAAAAGTGATCAGCGTAAAGAAGCGAAGTGCATGCATAAGCACACAACAGCGACTAGACGTGACAAGTGCAAGGCCCCGACATTCATGAAACACACAGCAGCACAATTACATAGACACAACCAGCGAAAATCCGCTCCACAAGCGTAACAAGCCTTGAGAAAGCAGAAGCCAATACCACGCCCAGTCATGTCAGAATAGACTCGCGTGCAGGGTTGACTATCGGATTAGGGGGAGCCATATTTTACAGCATCATACTAAAACCCGACCAGTCGATGCACCTATGAGCAGCCCAAGTGCACGCAGTGACATTTCCGCGATACCACGCCCTTGTTGGAACATTTTTTTTTTTAATTTTAATCTCGTACTTTGTTCCCTTAAGCGGTGCCCTCATCGCGTTAACATTGCAACAGATCGGCCGTGTTTGCCGTAGAAAAACAAACGTGCCTCTCAAAGCAACAAAAACAACTTTTTAGTCAAACCGGTGCGAAAAAAAAAAAAAGAAAACGCCATCAATATTAACTTCATTGCGGAAGCACGCGTTGCAGGCAGTCGAGGTCTACGCGCCCCGTGTCAATGTTTCATTAGGTCTACCGCTTTCTTTAAAAAGCTATTTAGGATAGGGTGGGGTAAAATACGAGACAAGTTAAGAAAATGGTGAATATATATCTTTATTTCACTCCTTAAAGTTAAAATTCAATGCAGAAACTTTAATTTGGGTACAAGATATGTGCTACATAAATATTGCCACGTTACCACCCTTCCAAAAACGCCATGCCTGCGCGGTACGCGCCGCACAGTCAGAGCGAAAGCTGGAAGAGCGGCCTTTCAGAGCGTTTTCTAAACATTCCTTGGGTAACTGCTACAAGTACACCGCTGGGTACCCACTACGTCAATAATAATGATAATTTTTGTGTAGTAGGCCAGCATTCACTATGCTATCCTTCATCATTTTTTTTAATCGTGGTATTCGCTACACACTTGTTAGGAATTTCGTGCTATTTTTTATGCATGGCTGACGACGATGAAGAATTGTGCCTAGTGGATATGTGCCACTGTTAATGGTTGATCAAGAACAATTTTTCTAATGGGTTGGAGCATTGAACGACCCACTCGTTACGCAATGCGCATTGTGTGACACCTGGCTGTGCTTTTGGTGTTCTAAAACGCTTTATTTCTCATATTAACGCGATTACTTTCCCGACATCTATCCTGCCTAAGGCTAGTTTAGAAACGACTTCCAAGCACTGGCGTGGCTGAGTTGTAGAATACTGGGTTAGCACGCAGTGGACCCAGGTTCGAATCCCGTCGTGTCATTGTTCTTTTCGCTCGGTACTGCCCGGACACCGGCAGCGGCGGACTATACGGCGCCGCGCGTGACCCGTGTTCTGATCTCATAACAGCTTTCGCTGTAAAATAGTATTTTAAAAAATAAATATAAAATGCTCCAGGTGTCCCACTTATCACCCAACCTGCGGGGCAAAATGAAACGCTGCGTGGCACAAAACAAAACAGCATGCGCAAAAAAATTAATTTCTTTCGTTTTTTGCCATCGAAAGACTTGAAATAAACTTTGTGGGCCCTCACGCAGTCTTAAAGTGCCCTGTCTTTGGACTGAACGCATTGAACCTAGACAGAACGCGTTGTTGTGTTTCTCCGACACTCCTTGCAGATCAAACACCGCCAGTCTTTCTTTGTGCTGATGTTGTCTTTTGTTGAACGCTTGCACTTCATTGGATTATTCAACAGTGGGAGGCTAGATATGTCCTCACCTATATCATTTTCACCTCCTTTTGCCGTTTTGATGCACAACTGCTCAGACGTATGGCCTTTAACTTCGGCCGCCGCGAATTTCTGGCGCTTGCTTTTTTTTTTTCAATTAGGGTATTCGAGAAACTTCGTTAAAACTCGACCCGAAGACGTGTTTGTGATCAATTCGACTTGGAGATTTCGCCCTTTTTTTTATGAGTCTTTTGAGAGCATCCTTGGAAACAAGAAAAAAACCTCGATGCTGCGCGAATGGAGGAATCATGTCCTGAGCGGAAATTAGTGCTTTTTCATGTCGTTTTCCTCCAAGGAAGCTGTATATTATATTCTCTTGTATGTCCAAACCCTCCCAAAGAAAGAAATATAATATATAATGAGTGTAAGTTAATGGTTCAACTAGTACGACAATCCCAATAAGGCAATTGGATGCCTTTTTTGTCGCGTTTTGCCCATCTAATATGCCGGAATTAAAAAAAAAACGCTTTGTTCCCGGACACCAAACCAACTAAACTTGTGTTGTTATGTTGTTCGTAGTATAAAGTAACAAAATAAATATTTACGTTGCCGTACTGACGCAGGAGCAGCTTCATGCATAGATCCGAAAATTTGGCAGAGCGAAATTTCGCCCCTTTTTGATAAGTCACGAACACACCGACACAAGCCGCGTAGTTTTTCTCGCGCGAACGCACATATGAGCAATCATCAACTTTACGCATGAAAAGGTAGGCAAGGACCAGCACTTATCGCTGGAAAACAGAAACAAAGAAAAGTAGCTTTTCTATTAGATATAGGTACAGAGGCCGGCAAAGTCCATATGTCGCGTTTTGCCCCATGTTCCATTTTACCCTGCATACAGTACTTGTTTGTTTGATGTAAAGCGACATCAGCGTGCTATCTCCACGCCCCGAACGCTGAACCTCTATGTCAGTGCATTCAGACAATTCATGTCAGTGTTACTGTTTTTTTTCTTCCTTCTGTTAGTATATGTGTATGCCAAACAAGCCCTATATTACATTGGAGCATTCAAAATCCAGCATAGTTTAAAATTTTTGGATGTCCTTCTTTTCGTAAATTCATATACTGCAAATTGCGCTACATTCTTCTGCGCCTTTGTATTAACTTTTCTCCGACTTTAAACTCATCATAACCCTTTTATGAACGTGACCCAAGAGCCCATTTCATGGATTTACTAATAAAATGAGAAAACGGTCGGAAGCACGACCGTTAAAATAAGAAAACAAAAAGACGGAACATTGAAAATGTGTATACCATTCATTCAAAACACGCACCTGCACGCTGTTCTCGTGCAGTGTGTTGTTTGCGCGGCACGTGTCTGCAACCCAAGACATCCATCGGGCAGAAATTTCAGAAACGAGTACACCACACAACCAGAGCGCCAGCGGTCCCAATAAACTGTATAAATCAGGCCTGCGCTGTGCAACACTCGAGCGACGTCAGTTGAGCACATCGGTCGACGCACTTTGTCCCATGTGCGCTGTATACCGGCGACTTCATCATGGACGTCGCGCACGCATTGTTCGAAGTCGCGACGTGCTCTAGGCAATTTAGTACGCAGCTTCATGATGTGTGCGCTTTGTTCCATAAATCTTTTATTTGCCGTCATAACAGCGCTCAGGGCAGCCGAAGAGGGACACTTCATTAATTAGGGATTACGAGCCGCCGGTCGTTAGGGCGCGGCCGGCCAGAAGGTGGCACGTGGATGAGCATTCATCAGCCTTCTATATATAAGCCCCGACACAGTACAAGCTCGCACACGTTTACTGCTGCACTGTGGGCTATAGCGGAGGGGAAAAGGGCATCCTGCGAACGTTATATAATCGGGTGCGTTTTCTCTGCTTTCTCCTCACCTACACAGGTTTCGGAACTTGCCGAGGATTTCCGGAACCAGAGACTGGACGGCAGCAGAAGGAGAAACGACGACGAGGTAAGAACGTCAGCCGCCGTTTTTGCCGGCGAGTTAACCAATTAAGCATCTTGTCCTAAGCTCTGTACACAGAGTAGATCATCCCTTCCCTTACATACTCTTTTATTCAAAATTGGGCTCCGGACGCCTCCTTCGCAAATTGAGTACACAATTTTACACCCGATTTTAGTTAATCTCATGTTGAAACTGAAGATGTTTAGTGGGCGAAAAAGTTACGAGTTCTCACCTTTCGTTCTCATAAATCTTCCGTAGAAGTCACAGAACAGGTACGTCAGTGTGATATCACGGACGATCAATTTTCTTTCTCGCGGAAAACCGGAAAGGTTCAGCCTTTGGCTCCTTTAGAATTCAATGTAGCCTATTTTTGCCCATAAGAAACTTACTCCATGGGCTCAAGTCGAAGCCGTCGCGATTCACAGCCTAACAGACGGCTCGTGCGGCAGGGTATAGTGTCGCTAACACGCAGTCTTTCCTTTTTGTACCTTTTCTGGCTGCAAGGATCTCTGGATTAGATTCCAAAATATCGTAAGCTATAAACTAGAGAAAATCATTCGCGCCATATTTCAAGCAAAACACCAATTATACGAAGGGAGTTACATGCGATGATTAAAGGTGATCTCTCAAGCTGTGCTTTCCTTCCTCAATTTCTTGCTATATCAGTCGGGGATTAGTCGGAGATAAGCTGTGCCTCCCGTCACCGTTCGCCGGCGAAACTCCGTGTTAGTCTAGCTCAGGGGTCTCAAACATGCGGCTAGCGAACCTCTCGTTTGCGGCCCGCAAATGACCTTCTTGGCCCCACTTGTTTTTAATTTTCTTAGTAAGTATGTTCATGAGATACACAGGCAGGGCTGTCTTAAAACCATTCTTTCCGAGAGGTACTCCATATAATCGCCATATGTTGAAACATAAGCGCGAAAGGAAATACATACATCCAGAATTGGCGTCCAGACTTCAGTCATTTGGAAAATCGGTATCGACATGTTTTTGGATCCTGCCACCCGATCTCCTTAGGAAATGACGCGTACATGAGATATGCGCTTAAGTAACGACGTTGCATGCTGACGATTTGTGCCCCCTCACTCCCCCCGCTCATACTTTACTGACTGTCGCGGCCCTTGCGAAACTAAATTTACTGACATGTGGTCCGGTGGCCGAGGTGAGAGTGAAACCCCTGATCTAGCTGATCTCTGCACTGCTAGATGGCGCAACAATCCCAGTGGCCGCGATGCAAACGGGACGGCAGGGCTGTTGTAAAGGCCTCCCACAGGCTGCCCAAGTTTTTTAGCTCTGTACAAACGCTAAAAAGCCAATCAGATAAGTCGCACGAGTGATGCGAAATATGCCACGTCCCAAATTCAGGGGGCTTCTCCCGAATAAGCGCATAGAAACATTTCAATAATTTAGCCAGTTTACGCGAAGCACTAAAATCCGCACAATAATCTTGTGATTGACCAATTGATGCAAAGGATTTCCGCAGCGCAGACAAGCAAGGTCGAGAAATGACACATGAGAACACACGGTGAAACCTGTGACTAAGCCATCAGTTGAAAGCACCGCTTCTGTTTTTGTCTCTCTTCTCGTCTTTGTTTTTTGACACTGCGAAAGTTCTTTATTAAAATCGGCCCGTTAATCAGCCGAAGGACTTAACACCTGTCACACTGCCACCATCGAACTACGTTCAACTCCATCAATGAAAAACTCCATTAGGGAGTTCGACGGAGATGGAGTTGTACCCATGTCAAACGGCTGTTTTACGAGCTTCTACCACAAGTGTGGTAGCTTGGGCTAGTTGGTATGGCATGACGATAGTTATAGCGCAAGAACAAAACGACGACACAGAGTCCTTCGTGCCCTTCTTGTCTCTGTGCCGTAGTTTTGTTCTTGCGCTATAAATTTAGTTCTAGCACAAACCACACGGATTCCATCATGCGCTGCTGCAACCACGCCTGCATGCCAGATTTCGCATCTAATCACGCTGAAAACATTCTCCCATTGCGAAACGCTCCGTTGAACTTCTTTGGCGTAACGGAGACCGTGTGACGTGTTCCGTATCTCCGATGACGTAACGACGAACAAGATTAACGGAAATCGTCGGTGCCCGTGGAGTGGTATCACACGACCGGCACAATGCGCTTGTAGTATATTTATTTTACCCCTAAAGACCCTTTACAGGGCATTACATATTGGAAGGGAGAGAACAAAAACAAAGGGCATGTCGTAAAACGAATGCACCATTGGCATTATGGTAACCGTATTTAATAAGACAAACAAACATGAAGCGAGTACAACAAATAAATTCAATAATCGATATTCGACATTTGATCACTGCGAAAAACAGCATTAATAGAAAATTTAAACGGACACTGCCGATACACAAATAAAGAAGCATATGCGCGTACAAAAAAGAACAAAATTACAATCACTTTGGTTACCCCAAACCACGTTTACATGTTAGAAAGTGCGGAAGAAAAAAAAAACGTACAAAAACGGAGGAAAAAAACGTAAAAAACATGAATCAAACACTGCTTTTCACACTTGACAGTGGCATACTTGCCTACTTTGCAAGTTAAAGAAAAGCGAACATGCCGGGCTTTTTTTTATTCTGTGCTAACGTGGGATTAATTAGAAAGAACATTGAAAGTGATCATGCTTCACCAATTTTACAACTGCAGAATACGCTGTTTGAGCCGGCAACATTCTACGAATAAACAAACATGGCTATACGATATTCAGGGTCACGGCGGCACTGTTTCTGGATTGTGGCGTTGACTCGAAGTGTTCCGTCGAATGTCGCTTGCTGTCGATTGATTTTACTTCAAGAGTACGCCGCGGTGGTTCAGTGGTTACGTTGCTAGGCTGCTGACCGAAAGGTCGCGGGTTCGATTCCGGTCGCGGCGGTCATTTCGATGCAGGCGGAATTCTTTATCGAGGCCCGCGTTCTTGGATTAAGGTGCACGTTACAGAATCCCAGGTGGTCGCAAATTTCTGCCAGTGCCTTCTACGACGGCTTGCCTTATAATCATATCGTGAATTTCGGACGCAAAACCGCACAAATAGTTAGTCTCTTATGTTAAAGGGACCGGCAACCAATTTTCATGGTGCTATTTTTTATATCGGAACGGAAAGCTTACCGGTCAGTGAGTCTAATTAGAGCAAAACGGTCTCTTATTCGATTAACCGCGTCACATTTCCAGAAATTCGATTGTTTATTCTGGTTCAAAATTATATTTAATGAATATAAATGCATCATCTGGGAACGAATATCTATTGCAACGAAATTCGATCACGTTCCCATTGTCGGGAAGCGAAGTAGCGGTGCGCAGGCCGAATCTTCCAAAAGCTATAGAACAAGCGTTGTTTGCAGTTTTGCTCGTTTCACAGAAATTTCGGCATGATGTCGTTGGTTGTGAGCGAAAAATCGCCAACTTATGCGTGACCGAGAAATCTAGAGCGACGCAAATAAAATAAACAATAAAAATATCCTGGATCACAGCGGTGATCGAACCCGGGTCGCATGCGAGGGAAGCGGATATGTTCCACCACACAGCCATGCCATTGCTTGTGAATGCAGTGAATATAACTTCCTCTGCTTGGAAATGCAGTGAAAGTAACTTTCATGCTTTACAAACACACGGTTCCTGTACACATGCTTCACCCAGTACACCATGAAGTATTCCAGTAATACTGCGTGGTACAAGCGTGTACATTGTCATTGGGCGTCAGAACATGTGTTTATCATATTGACTTCATGGTTTAAAGCCGCTCACCCACTACGAAAGGTACGCACGCACTTAAGTTCGAACAGATTTCATGCACTAATTGTCTGAAGTACGCAGTATATAGGGACAGAATATCGCTATCGCGTTCAACTCCTAAAGGCGAAGCTTAAGAGGCCCGCATTTTTTTTCTTTAAATTTCTTGCGAGCAGATGAACTTCCAACGCGCCGCGTTGAATGAGAACACCACAGTCTGCACAGACCACAGAACAAAAGCAAGAATAACGTAGGAGTGCCTGTTGTACATCTTCTCGTGACTTCGCTACTGAACTGACCGTCAGCGAGAATAACCATGTCGCTTGATTTGAGCATCACTAACACAATATAAGGCTGGTGCAGAAAACAAGAATGACAAAATCACGCCTGCGTCCCTGATTTTTTTTGAGCGCATGCCTAAGTAAACGAAAGTATATTCCACTTTCCGAGAATAATATACTCACCGAGGATAAGTTGAGGGCTACGTGTTTTAAACTAACCAGCAGCATACCAGTCACATTTTTTTTCCCCCGAGCCGCAAGTTTGTGATCCACGTCGCCCTTCGTTTCGCCCTGTCTGCTTCTTTCGGGAAACGATGCGTCACTGGACTTATTCTGCGATGACACGCACAACAGTACACAATGGTCTTCCGTTATTATTTTTTTCCTGCGCGCGGCGGCATGGCGGTAATGTGAAACCTATACATTAACACCTTTGCGCACACTGTAAGATGTGAACTTGTTTCGCTCCAAGAAAGAAGTTGCAGCTTCTACGCAAACCCGCCAAGCGCTAAGGTGACCAGGCCACGTCGTAACCGCTGTGTATCAAGGCCTGACCACACGTAGCCGTTGCAGCGCGCCAGCGCGTGACTTTTTGACCGCGCCCTCTCCCTATTGAGAGAGAGGGCGCGTGGCTACGCAAAGCTGCACACTCTCGCTCTCTATGTGGGAGAGGGCCCGGCGCCTCGTCAAAATGCCACGCGCTGGCGCGATGCAACGGCTACGTGTGGTCAGGCCTTTAGACTTCACTGCAGCGAAGGCACAGCCAACACAGCAATTTAGTTTTTTTTTCTTGACAAATGAAACAGTACTGTTTGTTACATTAGATAATTTTAGACGCTAAAATCGACAAAAGTTAATCAGCGATAAGCACGGAATATTTCTCACACGTTATTGCTCGTAAAAAAAATTCATAGCCATTCCTCTCAGTGAAGCTTGTGGTCGCGACCAGCGAAGCTTAATGCCCCGCCGCGGGGGTCTAGTGGCTAAGGTACTCGACTGCTGACCCTCAGGTCGCGGGATCGCATCCCCGCTGCGGCGGCTGCATTTCCGATGGAGGCGGAAATGTTGTAGGTCCGTGTGGTCATATTTGGGTGCACGTTAAAGTACTCCAGGTGGTTGAAATCTCCGTAGCCCTCCACTACGGCGTCTCTCATAATCATATGGTGGTTTTGGGACTTTAAACCCCACATATCAATAAACTATTAAACGTCCTCAATTTCACTAGACTCCAAGTTTCTATTTCAGACGATTCCACCACGCGGTATTTATTTATTTGTGTTTATTTAGGAAAATGAACAAAAAAGTGCAAAAAAAAACTAAAAGCTAGAACGACTGGGGCGATTTGCGGGCGATCACTTTCCGAGGTACTCCCATTCCACGCGATTTCGTGTGACTAACGGTGGGCGTGTTTACAGGAGATGGTGTAGCTGGAAATTCGCCAACTTCGCGTGGACTGAGGATGCAACTCTGCACGCTTGGCACTGTGCCCCGAAACGTTGACGACGACGCCTTCGCAGCCAGGTCATCTTGCGAAAGTGAAAGCATATCCTAAAATGGCTGCCGGAGAATACAGCCCTATGTTACAACCTAGGAATAAATGTTTTACCCACACAACCATGGTACAATATGGTCGGCGACCTCTACTACAAAGTCGCACCAGATAGTTCTCGCTCGAAGTGCACGCACTTTTTCTTTGCAGAAGTAAACACTAGGCATTTGAGAAAATTGAGATTGTCTGTTCTCACCAAGATATTTGAGTACTGATGTCAGAATAAAATTTTGTCGGGGCGTACAGGTTTTCCATCTTAAACCAGGAACAAAAATGTGTTTTTACAGAAAAATTCGACAGCTTTCAACAAGCAGTAGAGCCTGTCGTCAGGCAAGTCAGCGACTAATTTATTGGAGCATCTATGCAAATTATTTTTTTGCATAGGATATGGTAACAACTGTGGGGGGATCTAATATTTATCCTCAGGTTCGACTACACTATAGATTGCTTCCATGTTACCACAAACTGCAGCTTTTGCAGAGTGAAATTAATCTTGGCATTCATGTTCTTAAAAGTTTTAGAAGTTAGAAACAGTGAGAAATATATCTGGCTTGTCACATTAATCACAAGGCTGGCACTTCAGTTCCAAGAAAATTTCGAACCTTTCTTAGCTTATCCTTCCTACAAATAATAACTACGATTTACCTCGCATCTTTCATTAATTTAACCCAGAGTATCTAGCAGTTCCAACAAGCATTATCCAGCATGGATGTAAAACTTTATTGATGATTATTATGATAAAAAAAATCAAAATTGCAGCTGTTTTGCTCTTACTCAGATTTTGCAGCAATATGGCATATCATGCTCTGGATATGACGTCTACTTGGTGTGCTGTTCTGCACATCCATGATATCTGATATTGCTCTCCACTCCACATCAAGGTTTGCATGACATTACGATGACAAGATACTGAACTGTGTGTGGTGTTAGAAAAGAGTCACTGGCAAATGAATACAACATTCCAAAACATGATGAAGCATTATTGATTTATCAATGAACATAGTAACAGCCTTCAGTTGTTCAGTGTGACACACTTCTCACATATAGCAAAAGTGGAATTTCATTGCAGTCAGCGGTTCTATGCAGAAGAATTACCCAAAGCAGTATCTCAAGGATCGATCGTCGATATCTGAGGTTTTACATTCCAAAACCACCATATGATTATGAGAGACGTCGTAGTGGAGGGCTCCAGAAATCTCGACCACCTCGGAATTTTTAATGTGCACCCAAATCTGAGCACATGGGCACACAGCATTTTCGCCTCCATCGAAAATGCAGCCACCGCAGCCGGGATACAATCCCGCAACCTGTGGGTCAGCAGCCGAGTATCTCAGCCACTAGACCACCGCGGTGGGGCAGTGTCTCAAGAAGAACAAAGCAAATATAAGAAAACAATAAGCATAAAACATATATTATGGTCATCTTGTTTTTGTTACAATTTTTGTAGTGACAAAAAATAAATTTATACAGAAAACATATTTCTGCCCAGTAACAAGACAAATTGCTGTATTCAAATGCTCTAAAGCAGGTGGAAAATAAAACGTGTATCTATGTGATTTATGCACTTACTGCAAATGGATGTTTACTAAAGCAATCTGAAAAAAATCACAGTTTGAATTTTTACCCATCTTGTGTGCATGTGCACTGCTGGCACATGTATGTTCTATGACTTTGAGAATGCCACAATGATATAAGAAAATGTCATTGCAGTCACAGCTTTTCTTATTCCCCTAAAAAACTGCAGCTATAACATTCCAGTGATATTTAAGCAGCATACCTAATACACGATTTAATACTACCTTTTCATTTTTTCATCATACTAGAAAGCTGCAAATAGACCAAAAGATAATCAAATGAACAGTTGTATGATGTTTGCTTCAGCATGAGATTCTCCTAATAACCATGCGAAATTTCTGAACAGTAAACAAGAGCTACACAGCTACAAAAGAATGCTGCAATTCCTCATGTGATGTTTTTGTGTAACTATATTACAGGAAAAGCACCAGGATGGAGATGCTTTGGAATATTTCGAGGGCTCAGGGATGGAACCTGCAGATGATCTTATCCCACGTCGTGCTGGTTAGTACTATGCTCGATTCTCTAGAGTTCAAAACTAAACACAAATTATTTTATTACATACACAAAGACATATGACAATTTAGTTAATTAAATAAATAAAAGCAAAACCTACTGCCCATTACATAAAGACATGCAAATTAACTGCATCTATATACATGTACTATGGTTCTATGTAACACATGTCTTTTGATGTAACTGTAAAACCAACAGTATTATTGATGAAAAAAAAAATAAATGTTTCAGAATTTCTTTTTTTGTAATATACTAGCGCTGACTTTGTAGCTCTCTCATTTTTTTTTCTTTCTTGGCCCATTATTTGACAGAAAAAACGGGGATGATACAGAGCTGCTAACTTGTGATAGTTCATGCCCACTGTCAATGTTGGCACCACTCTGAAAAATTGATGCTTCAAGTTAACATTTGCAAAGAAACACACTTTGTTAAGCTTCTTACGATAAGTTTATGATAACTAAATCATTGCTTACAAGTTTCATAGGTGGGCTTATTGCAAGCTTGTTGACGGCTAATGCACACCTGTTATATTCATCTGGTCAAGGCAGACAGGAAATACACAAGCTGCAATAACACATATATTAAGACAGGTTCTTACTTTGCAACACCTGACATATTATATTACAATAAGACGTCCTCGACACAAAGCAAAAGTTCCTTTCATTTTGTTCATTCTACTCCAACTTTTATTCAACAGATGGAGACATGGAGACGCAGAGGCATGAAATTCGCCACCATCGAGACCTCCGGCAGATAGTTTACCATCTGCAAAAGACTGTCCAAGCGCTGTCTCACGATCAATCCAAACTGGCCAAGGATATCAGCCGACTGCGTCGGAACAGCACTGAACTCTCTGTGGCAATAGCTTCACTGCAAGGAGTTTCCAACACAGCCTACTCAACACAGCTTGATAGCCAGTTACGTCGGCTGGAAGATCGAATCCTGGCACAAAATGAAAAGGTGCGAAATGTCTCGGGCTGCTTCCAAAGTATTGACAAGGTCCATGCCTCAACGGTAGAGCTCTTCAGGGATTTGCGCACACTTGAGAAGAAAGTAGACCGAGGTCTCACTGATCTGCGCAAAGAAGTCTCCAAATGTGACTTTGATGTAGCCACTGCATTATCACTAGCCAAGGCTGTCCGACAAGATGAGCTTGCCAGACGAGAGACCCTCGCCAGCCTCAAGAATGACTTACTGCAGGCAAGAAATGAGCTTGACAAAACTCGCTACAAGATACTTAGCGTGGAAGGAGCAGTCCTCAATACAACAGTGTCAAGCCGTAAAGCAGGCAGTGGCTGGGTGTCACAAGAGATTAAGATAGCGAACCTTGAAGTGGCAAGCACACGTCTTTCCAAGCTAGTTGATCGCAACAGCCGTAAATTGGCACACCTCACGAGATCACTGGACCAGGCTGTGAACCGTGACGTACTTGACGAGTGGAAGAGAAAGCAAGAAGACTTGGCCAGTATTCTACAAAACGTAACAGCAGAAGTGCCCAAAATAAGAAAAAATATTACTCATCTTGAGGGAGAAGTGGAAAAATTTGAGGACAATTTACCACAAGGCAAGTACCTGTCACTCACTCTCTGTAATGGGCACACACAAGCACTGTCCCTTCTATTATGAAATCCATAGTATCTATTGCTAAGTGAATGTAATGATTAGTTTCACTTGCATTGAAATTAATGCACATGCATTATTATACTTCTTCATAACAATATGTTTATTTGTTTATTTGTTTATTTTATTTATTTATTGGTACCTCAAGGGTCCCGAGGGACATTACATGAGGGGTGGGTATCGTAAGTGAAAAGAAAACGATAAACAATATAACAATAAACATCAATAAGACTAAAATACAAAATGCAGATACAAATGGCGGCAATAAAAATACGACAATCCATTTCACAAAGGCAAGTCCAAAGGCATCAATTCATGTATGTTCGATAATATATCGGAAGCGTGTTGCATCACGGACAAGTGCAACATCTTTTGGAAGGCCATTCCAGTCTCGGGTAGTTCTGACAACAATGTTAACAATATTATGGCAAATTTCAAGTGTAAATCACCTTCTCAAGAAGTGTCAAATTATCTACCTTACATAATCAGTCTGTTTGAAACAAGTGAACTCAGTGGCATGCTCCTGACCACATTATACTTTACATACCCAGTCTGTGCCAAACAAATGAACTAAATTTCATACTCCTGACCACATTACCCTTTGTCTTTGCAGACTGCTCTTCCAACATAAGTCATCCTACAAATGGTCAACACAGTGGAGCGCGACTAATTCACCCCCGTGGTGCTGAGAAGGCCCGCCTAGTCTTTTGTGATATGCAGACAGATGGTGGTGGCTGGACAGTAGTGCAGCGCCGATGCGATGGCTCTCAAGACTTCTATCGCAACTGGGATGATTACAAGCAAGGTTTTGGTGAGGTGACTGGTGAGCACTGGCTAGGAAATGATGCACTGCATGAGATCACCTCCTCTGGAAACTACTCACTTCGTATCGACCTCTGGGACGTGTCAGGAAATTACAAATTTGTTGAATATGACCATGTCGCTGTTGGTTCAGAGGCTCAGAGGTATCGTCTGGAAGTACTGGGCTACAGGGGTAACGCCAGCAATGCCCTTGAGTACCATTCAGGTATGGCATTCAGCACTGCTGACAGAGATAATGACTTCAGTAGCACTCACTGTGCTGTGTACTACTCCTCAGGCTGGTGGTACAACCACTGCCAGTATGTTAACATTAATGGCAAGTACAAAGTTGGCTTAACTTGGTATGACATGGATGCACTTGAGTGGGTGCAACTGTCCAGGGTAGAGATGAAACTCAGACCCGCTACAAGAAGGAAGAAGCGCAGGTGGACAAAGGCCACGTCTGTCTGAGCAACAGCACAGGCTTGGGCGTCTTTGTTTTTTTTTTTTGGACTTCGCCAGAGATGGCCCTTCGATTAATTTATAAAAATGTGTGCTTGTTGTACATATGTTACGATCATAGGTGTATGACAGTGTGCAGAAAAACTATGTGTGCTGTGCATAGTGAGAAATGAACCAGCGACCTGCCTCGTGCCATAATGGACAAGTTGTTCAAGCCAGCAACACGAGCTGTAGTAATACAGAGCCTGTCTGCTCTGCCTAACAACATGACAACACTCAAGGGACCAATGCAACAGTGACGTGAAGGCACATTGTTTGACAACATGGACATCCTGTAAAGCCAGGAGAAATCATAATCCCGGCATTTTAATATTGCCTTCTGGATCCCCAGGCCCATCTGAATGAACTCCAGCCACTGTTTGATGAAGGCTTATGTTATCAAGGCACGGCCACAATGTGAATCAGCACATCCACAGGCAGTTAGTTCCCTGAGAATGCATGAACAAGTTATGAGGGTGGTTGTTGAACACTCTGAAGGCCAACCCATGAGAAAGTTTTGTGTAACCAGTGCTGTGTTTGTGTATACCTTCTCTTTCTTATTGAATTGTGAGCTTGATCATAGAACTTCAGCCTTTTTAAAAGCAGCATAAGCATTTTGTGCTTCTGGTCAATGTGAGCTGCTATGGACAAACATTAACTGTATTGATGTGTCAGTGACAGCGTATGCTGTAATCTGCAATCAAACCCGTTGCCCACTACTTCATGGTACCCATGAATGCACAGAAGGTGTCTGTGCAACATTTCTCTGTCAAAGGCGTACTCCTGCCAGTATGCTATTTGGTTGCATTTCTTGCAGCAAAAGATGTTCATGTGGGTTTTTAAGGGCATTTGATGGTACTGTATGGAAATCAGCAATGTCACCATATAGTAATTTATTCACCGTACATATCAGAAAAGTGAAACAAATTGTCATCCCAAACTTGAAATTTAAGATAATAAGCTGCAGATGCAGTAAAAAATGTTTTATTTATTTATCTATGATATGGAAGTTTTAGGGCTTATTCCTGAGACAATGTAAATGCCCTGAAAATTTTTTATGTACAATAACCGTAAGTGAACACCCATTGTACAAGCATATGGTAGCCCATTCAAATGCCCTTTCCTGTGTTCCTACAGAAGAAAGGAACGTGCTGTGAACTTTACTGTGGCAAACGAACAACTTCCACCAGTGTAAAAGTAGAAGTGTGGTAACCCAACAGTATAGATGTAGAAGTGACTTCCTGCCTCTTTGTGTAAATGTTGTAGTTGTTGAGTTTGTCATTATTCATAACTACCTGAGGTATGAACGAATAGTATTTATATTTAGTTAAGCCAGCCACTTGTACTTCACTGTGCGCTAACATAAATCAAAGTACTACTAGCTTTCTAGTGCTTTGTGCATGGGACATCACGATTGTTATCTTTATTTTGATTAAGCATTGTTTTTGCATTATATATTAAGAAATTTTCATGGGCATTGATGGTCATAGCCACTTATGAAGAATGTTAGGTGGCCTATAAGCAGCTGCTAAGATGTGCCCGTGAATCATTTTTTCTTTCTCTTTTTCCTAACACATCAGCAATAGCCACTAGCATAGTCCGTTTGCATTGGTCAATTTTCATGCTGAACTTTTGAACTATCCTCTACATATTACAATTGTTGATTTGTAAAGTAATGAGCTTGCTAGATCATAACAAAATATAAATATAAGGAATTATGTGATTTGTGATTCATAACTACATAAAACTAATAACAATGTGAAAGTTTGGACTGATTGGAAACATTAATGGTTCAACACTACTACACATCATACATTTTTTTTCAGTTCCAGTGTGGCTTTGAACTGCAGTAGTAAGTAACAAGATCTTGAAGAAGCTACATAATGATTGAAAATAAAAAGCTGGGACTTACATACCATAGATTAAGCACGTATAAGAGACCCGATGCTAGTAAGTATCAAGTGTTACATGTCCAATGGCAGTTTAGGCATCTGAAGACTTATTAGATAAAGCAAATACCCTGAAAAATAACTCACACCTCATATAAATGGCTCTGGAAGCTAAAAAAATTTTTGGGTCTACTGTAATGCGCAAAGCAGGATATGATTCACTTGTCTTGTTTTCATATTATTGTTAACATTTACTGACCTAAATAGAAAAGAGCTACTATAGTTGACCTGTAATAATCAGCAGTTAAGAATTACTATCAATTAAAACTCATCTCAAAGTTCCTTGTGGCCAGCTATATTTTCAGTTAATTTTGTTTGTCACTGATTAGATAGATTAGATATGAAATAAATATTTCACTTTATTCAAAATATTTGTCTTCATAGGCAAACAATTAACGAAGTAACCCAACCATTCTGGCTAAAACTGAATGGCAGAAAAAAATACATTCATAACTCCAAATATTTTATATTGAGATCTGTATCAGCTGGAAGGGCAGTCGAACATTTATAACTGGTAAAGCATATGTGCCCAGTATTAGATATCAGTCTAGCTCAGTGCTATTCTGTAGTTGATATCAATGGAGGGCCTCCATAAAAGTAGAATGCACTCTATATAGATACCTCTTGGTATAGTAACTCATCATTATCTCTTGAATTATGCATAACAGACCTTTAGATAACTCACGCACAGGTGTGTGTTCCTAAGGTGTACACCAGTTGCAATTGTTCTTTGCAACAAAACTACAATGCGTCACTGGGCTGAGTGACAAAGCCACATAGAAGCTGATGACACTAACTGTTACATTTTTCAGCCATTGCCGCCATTGTTCAGAGGTGCAAATGCAGCCCTCAATTACTGGCATGCTATAGGCATCATCAAGAGTCACCTAACATGCAAGTCATTGTATCACACAACATATGTTCCTCATATACCCCTGACAAACAGCTGGCTAGTCAAGAAATCAAGTTGTGTGATGTGCCAACATGGCAAAAACCACCTTTATATAATGTTTACACATTCTGCATATTCTCTGTCCATTGAAACATCTAGCAATGATGAGATAAAATTGATTACAGAATAAAATGTAGTAGAAAAGATGCACAACTGAAAAAAGAGATGTGCACATATTTAGTGATCCTCACTACTGTATGTGTAACACTCCACAAAGAAAGTTCTGTACATTACTCATACACTCAGTATATCAAATACAAGTGCAATTGGAATAACTCATTTGGAACAGAGTGTTTATTATTCATCCTAAACCAGTTCATGGTGATTTTGACAGAAAACTTTCATAAACTGGCTTGAAAAAAAAAAGATATAGCTTCAGCTTTAGCAATGCACAGTTGGTATCACTGCATTGACTTTAGCTACAGCTGGTCTGATGGTCATTTTTGTTATTTCAGATCTCATACAGATGAGTGTTCTTTCCCCCATACGATGTGGAGGAATTTGTTATGCATTGCTTATTTATTTAGGCCTTTGTTATTATTCTCTACATTTGTTGCAATTGCATTTCACAAGGAGAGATTTTGCTGTAGATTGTATGCGATTATAGATGCATATATCTAGGCTTTACACTAAAACTGTCACGTTTGGCAATGAAGGATGTTTTTGCTTGGTGCGAGATGTTTACTTAATATAAGTGATTCTAGGATTAGAAGATTATATAAGAAAAAAGCCTTCAAGATATTTTTTTTTTCTTACAAGGCTTTTGTACAGGTTCAGTCCTGTTTGCACAACTGTCTGAGACAGCTGGAGTAGAGAAAAGTGTAGGTGTGATGCTTCGATTGTGTTTTGTCTTGTACATAGATATAATAAAAAAGAGTTTAAACAGCAGTACACTGTGTCACCATGTGCATCTTTTGCTAAAGTATATAATTGTTACATTCAATATCATCAAGCATGGTGCGTGGCATACTCTGAAAGCATAAAATTTAACTAAAAATTATAAGCTTTTGTGCTAAGAAAAGAAAATTAGCATAAAATAACCATCTCAACTGTCCATATTTTGACAAGGCACTGTGAATTACTGAAATTAAAATCGCTATTGGCACTTCTCCGTAGGCAGCTAGCTTAAAAGCACAGAAAATAAAATTTGTTGCTTAATGAAACATCTCAGATACACTTTCACAAACAACGACACATGCAAAGTTATTTAAGCAGCTGCACAATACATTGTTAAAGAATATATATATGAACACACTGCTGACAGAAAGAGACAGAAACACCAGAAGGAAGTAAAATAATAATTAAAGGCCAGATTTTTAAGCACTAAAAAATTGCATTTTAGGTGCTTAAACAGGCAGGCAAACTACAGTTATAGGCCCTCAAAATCATAACTATAGGCACAATTCAGTTTTACAAAAAATTCAAATCTTGAAGAAGGATTTGTGCAATCGATGTCTACTACAGGAAAGCAAAACAATGTTGCAGTTTATGAAGGCACAGAGGTGCCAGTAGCTTAACGTAGCCATGTAATTGTCCTTTTTCCTGCATGGTTTACAGATTACACACTCCCCTTTTTGTTGTCCAACATGGTGAATTAAGTGCCCACCATTGAATAAACATGCTCCTGGGCCTGTTTCGTTTCACCATGGCTAAAAGAAGGCAGCACAAGAGCAATAAACATACCACTTAAAAACCAATACAGTCCTTTAGCCTCGTATTGGCTGGGTTCAATTGCACAGGGCCAATTTCTTTTCTGTCTATAAACACTTTAAAGAGCCCCTCAACAGGTTTTAGTATTTTGAACTGGCAAGCGTAATGCACTGGGCGCTCACGGTCACGTCTGCCAAGATTTCCAACACTATGCGCCTTAGAAACGGGTGAAATGTCGAACAGAATGCCACTCGCTCTTCATCTCAAGGGCGTGAACCGCAACATGAAGGAGATCGCGTACAACAAGAAATGGTCCTGCATACATCACAGTAGTACGTGAAACTGTGAGAATTATTCAAAGTGGCATGAATAATTTGTGCATTCTGTTGCTTGAATGAAGAATGAAATTTGGCAGAAATACTAAAACATACAAATACATTCTTTGCATGTTTCATTTATTTATTTATTTTTACTTCAATTAGAGGGAAATGCTAAGCTAAGCTGCCTACATTTCGTTAGCGTTCACATTCTCGCATCCTGTCGACGCCAGTCTTGAGAATACTTGGCGTCTTTTTGGTGCATCGCCCTTACAGTAGCGATGCTGTGTATCGTGGTAAGGACACATTATTCATAACAGTCTCTTCAAATGTGCCCACGTAGAGGGATCCATCCCACAGAAGTGGGCCATGGTACACTTCAGAGAATGCTGAAACGACACAACACTGCTTGCGCGCACGACCTGGCTAGGGCATGTTTTGCGCATGTAGCCTTGCGTGTGCATGACGTGTTCATGCGTCTGCAACATGTGATCTTTTGGCTCCGAGTTGCTTTGATACCAAACGAGGCAGGCATGAAATTTGGCTTGCAAAGTCTAAATGGGGCGAGTGCTAAAGGTTTTAAGCTCACCTCTTCACATCATGCTTTTGTGGCTCGTAATGAACAAATTAAAAAATTCTTGTGGTACGAAACTCCTGATTGGGCATGCAACAACTTCCAGGGTCTAAAATTTCTAATGTGACCTGGGAAAGCAGTACCCATTAAGAACCAAATTACAATACAAGACAAAAACCACGCACACATCTGATTTTTTTTTTTACCTACACGCTGCTTTTTTTTGATGTCACTCCACGGTTTCGCACTTGTTTTCCATCTTCCTGCAGTTGCACAGAGACACCTGTCCCTTTTTGCTAAGGTACGTTGTCGGGCTAGTCGGTCTGGATTCAAAATTCCTTTTTTCTGTTCACCATCACCTCTAAGTGTTCAAGGAGGTGCTTCAATTCCTTGGAAACACCGGACTTGAAAACCAGATGTAAAAGCCGCCCGCCATGTTCTCGGCCATGGATGCCACTCACCGCTTCTCCTTTTCTTTTCTTCCCACCTTTATCTTCCTCTCCTCTTTCCACTGTTTACGCTGGGACATGCTTCCATTTAGGGTTGAAAAAATCTCGTCTTTTCCTTTCCTCCTGATATAATCACTTTTCTGTGGAACTGATGTGTGCCATAAAAGGCTTCACATCTGAAGCAATAAGATAGTTGCGAACTACTGCTGTACTGAGTCGTTCAATGGGACCTGTTTCTTTTAAGCTTCCAAAGTCTGATAATTAAAATTTTATCACGTTCACAAATAAAACCAGGGCCATTGCATCCCTAATTCAGAAATCTTGGGAGGAGTGGCTAAGCACACATATGCAAATTAATGCATGCATTTTTAACAGCTATGTGCAGCAGATCCTGCAGCCTCACCTCTGCAGTAGCATTTAAAAAAACCAACGTACTGTGGGAAGCTAAGTTGGATGAAGAAGTCATGGAACACACTGGAGAGGAACACTAGAGAGGCACAAAATGTTGGTAAAGTAAGCATGCTTCCAGTACTGAGAGGCCTGGATTTACGGTGATAACATGTACCATAACAAAACTGACACAGAGCATTGACAAGCGAAACTTCTTAAATGAGCTGATTGCACACTATGAGCTTTAGCAAAATTAACGCAGAACCCTCTGAATGACTGAACCACAGGTGCAGAAGCACTTTAGCAATCACAGGCATCTTCAGAAAATTTTGTTCAGCCAATATAGAGCATCTTGAGGAAGTTTTATAGTGAGTGACACAATATTTAGGTTGCATTGCAAAGTTATAGATTTCTTAACAAAGCATTCATTGGAGTGGACTGTCCTTCTAGAATGAAGAAGATGATAAGTGAATGGAAACCCTCCATAGAAGGTCCACACTCCATATAGCATAATTTCAAGTTCAACAGATATGGCTTCACTTCAAATCAGCTATGAAAGAAGAGAGCATTTATTTTCTCTCTCAACACGTTTGCTTTCTTGAGGTCTGGTTTTATGTGTGGACTGATCCACCAGTGGGTCGTGGCATCGTAACACCAGAAAAAATTTCTTCTGACCATTTGTAACTTCTTGCAACAAGAATCGTACCTCTGCGATTATGTTTGATGAAGTTATTGCATCAGCAAGCAGATGATCATAACATCGGCGCCGCAGAGGATTAGCACAGCCTGTGACCCACCGGCGACCCACGCCACAGTGAACGTGTTGAAGGGACCCTGAAACAACTTTAGCGATTTTTTACAGACACATCAGGCCGGTATAACAAGTCCGAAGGGTGCTTTAGAGACCGATTTGAGCTCCTACGTAAACTGTGTAATTTATTACAATGCTTTAAAGCTGCGAATCCCTGCAGATCACTGCGACTCAGCCAAACGTGTTTTCAACAGCCCATACAACAAGCAACACGCTCTACCCCACTGACGTCATCGTTTCCAGCTGATCTGATTGGCTGTGGAACATGCAGCACAGACTGCCGGTATCGAATCGGCGGTGAGATTTACGCGTATGCGATCTCACGCCACATCGTGACGCAGGCGGCTTAGCCCCAAGCGTTCGAAGGAAGAGTTTAGGGCAGTTGAGGGTGAAAAGCGGAGCGGAAGAGGAGGGTACTTTTTTAGTACTCGTAGCTTCGTTCAAAATAGGTGTTTGGATTGAACTCTGGTGCCAATAATTTGCTCCAGTAGTGGTCTAATCAAAAACAAAATGTGAAAAAACTGTTTCAGGGACCATTTAAAGCATGGTCACCCATACTGAAAATTTAGGTGTGTTATAAAAATCTCTCTAATTGAGTTCTTTGTAATTTGAGGTCAGGATGTTGACCACATGTGTTCTGCCAAAACTCTGAAAATAGAAAAATTAGCTTCATATATGTAGCAAGCTGACAACCCCTGGTAGTTTGACATTATGTTTTCAAGTCTTGCAAATATTTGGCAGCTTGGGTAATTATGCAAGTTTTGGAATTCTGGTGAATGAATTCTCGTTTTTTATGGAACAAATGGTAATAAAGAAAGGTCACCAGTTTGCGCAAGGTGTCATAATAAAACATTGTTGGCCTCCTCCTTCCATGTCATTACACCTTTTCTTTCCATTAGCTTGTATCTCATTACAATTTTTATTTCGAGTTAGCTGGCCCATAATGTACATAAAAAGCACGAGCCCGTAGATAACCACAATTATTTTCATTTTTTCAGTAGAACAGCCCAATTTTTATTTCCACGTATGTCAAAAAGCTAACATTTGCACACTGCTGAAATAGGTTGAAGTCGCCTGATAAAGGGCTCACGAAGACATCAATAACGCTTCCATTTTTTTCTTTCACAATGCATATAACAATCTTCCCAATTCATTTAAAACAATGCTCTTCACACTTATTTTCAATGTCACAAATAAGCAGCTATTAAATGGTTGATAGGCTGAGCTCCAGCTGATGATCAATGTCGACAATTTTGAAAGAAAGCCAACAACAAAGTGAGATGAACGAGGAACAATAGCCCTCGTTGGATGAAAGTCATGATATTTTGTGCGCCTCGCGAATCTTCTGTGATGTGGACAACACTTGCTTTTTTTGAGGAACTTCACATGGGGCCTTCATCTAGTTCATACTATGATGATGTCGTGAGGTGTTGCCAACTCAGGATGAACACTCATGCTTACTTCGAAACCAAATACAATATCTTAAAGGTAACGTTTATTACTAATAATTGACCAGAAGTGCTCACGTATAGAGGACAATCAAACAATGCAAAGATCTTCAGAATGAAGATCTTTGCATTGTTTGGTCTTTGGTTTTTGGTCAAATCTACAGAATGAAGCTTATTTTTGAACGACATACAGGAAACCAACCACCTCCTGCTAATAAAATTTAAAAGCCTTGTAAACAAAGCAGTCACAGACACCACATCTTTCTTCACTTGTGTAGGCTAAGCACCCTTGGGGTATTTCACTCAGGAAGCTTCAAGGCAGTGTGGAAAATTTCAAAAAGTGAAATAACGCAAAGCGGCTTCACTGGCGGGCGCTAGCAATGTTCGCGTCCGAGTTGTCTTCATTATCACCGGAGGAACTACTCAATTCGCCGCTATCGCTATTTTCACTTCCGGACTCAAGATCTGTACTTGAATTATTATCACTCAAAGATGACGAATACGAATAGCTTCTTTTTTGTCTTTATGGCCCAGCTACGCGTGGGTCACTGCCACCGCATGCCACATGACCTCGCCACCACGTGACACGCAATGCGGGCTTCTGAGCCTGAATGCTAAAGGAGAGTATCTATTCCGCTAGAACAAGTTCTGCTCGTCCAAAGCGGTTTAGTGACAGTTTAGGCAAGACGAGCTCTGCTCGTTCAAAGCCCTTAAGGGGTTAACAGCAGCAGGCGCATGGCGCACCCACATAATGTAAAATGCAAATGATTGCCATACTGTAAAACAGTGACCACCAGTGCCCATCTTCAGAGAATGTTATCGACAAAATTACCATGTGTGAAATGGCTGATGTGCTGGTGACATGGACATCTGGAGGATGAGGGGCCAGAAGGGGTGGCTGCCTACCCCTTCCCCATAATTTCGCACAATACTTTACCACGGTTGCTGGATCAAAGCGTACATGGCGCAGCCTATTGCGTGGAGCCGCCAATCATTGGTGAGGGAGGGAGAGCATTGTTAACAGTTCCAGTCACAACTTTCGAGGGGGGCAGTAGTAGTGAGGGATCTTCCAACAAGGCGCACTATTGAAAACATGCCTTTCTTTTTGTTTCTATACTGCAGAGTGAGGTTACAGTCTTGTAACAACAGTAGTCAAACTGAATATGATGCGTTGTGCCTCCTACAAACTGAAACATAGATCATCTGGGTAGTTATAGCCGCAGCATGCTGAAGAACTGCTTTGTTCCTTGTGCTTGTCAAATTAAAAAAAAAATGTCAATTTGTCAGTGAGGTGAAGAAGCACATTGAAGTCCAGAGAAGTGGAAATCTCTGTAAACTTTTTCACTCAGCCCTGCTTCCACATTTTGTAACGTTTCCTGCACTACGGTGTGGTTCAGGCTGCCCAGAACATGAACCACATTTGTGTTGCTTTTCTGAAACGGTTGGTTCAACCCCTGCTAGCTAACTGTACAGGAAACGGCAATGCAACTGTGCAGCATCTTCCAAGGCTGGCAATGGCCAGACTAGAAAGGCGCGCTAGTGTGCTCGAGCACCTTCCAGTTTGGCCGGGAGCTGGCACAAAACCCCGCTCTAGAAAGTTGCTCCGCCTTTGAGGCCATGACATCACATCACCAGCTCTAATGTTTTAGTACTTATTTTGCAAAGCAAAATTATTCTGCTGCATTAAAATCACATGCATATGGTGGTTCAGTGAGTGGAGATTTTTGCTTGATAAAGATATGATCCATTTAGGCACAGAACCTTGTATTTTCATTTTTTTCTGCATGCACATAGTGCAATATTCAAATAGTACAAAAATAGTTTTGCTATTTAGGTTGTTGAAAACGTTGTGCAATAATCAAATGCCTAAAAGCCCATGATAGAATGTTCAGGACATTTGTAAACCTATTTAATACATAAGTGACACAAGGAGCCTGCTATAGTGGTGTAGTTGTTAGGGTGTTCGGCTACTGATCCAGAGGTTGTTCATTCGACCCCGGCCACAGCGATCGCATTTTGGTGGAGACGAAATGGTAGAGGCCTGTGTGATGTGAGGGCTAAATTTTTGGAGCCCTCTGCTACAGCATCCCTCATAATCATGATATCCCAGTTTTAAATTTGGGACGTAAAACCTTAGATACTATTATTACGATGCAAGTATGAAAGAGATTTTTTTCAGTAATGTTTTATTCTTTTTAAACATGTGGTCAAAGTTGGCTGTTGACGAGACGGGCATACCCAATAGTCAAAGCAGTTTCGTATCCTCCGTATAAAAGAGAAACCATTTAGATCAAAGAAAAGGCTCTGTTGTGGCATAAAATAATGCACTAGCTGAGTGGACACCACACTGAACAGGCCACTTGCAGCGGTGTGAATCCGACACAGCAAGCCTGCAAACACCAGACATGCACTGCTTCCCCAGCACAAACTGTCATTGACCGGTTGCGCTGCAGCAGCAGTACAAAAAACTAGACCTCTCGCTGTTTTCGGAGCATGCTGCAGGTCGTGCCTTATGCGCTTTGATCCAGCAGTCTTGACTTTATTATGCAATAGCAATAAGCTACACAGCTGGTTTTATACACTTAGGTCCTGCATATCCATGTGAAACAGCCTTCAAGATTGCCAGCCAGCTTTGCATGTTATACACTATTGATTAATGGGCAGTGAGAGAAAGGCACCCATGTTAGATGCCTCTTTACCCCCTGCAAAACGTTCTGTGGACGCCCTTGTGGTGACAAGCTACAGTAACTGGAAAGAAAACTGAAATTTCCCTTTTTTGTGATACGCAGTTACCACATCCCATATTGCTCTACTGCACAAAAAGTACAAAATCAATAAAAGAATTTGTACCAGCCCTATATACCTTTACCACTGCAGCTTGTGCACCATGGCATCAATGTCAGTGGTTGTTAATTTTTATGACAAAACGAGAACCCAATATGGAGTGCACCAGCTATATCAGAGAGCATGCAATGCAATAACATGAGGAATGTGGAGATGTCAGTGAACATATGCTGCAAAAGGTGCTTCAGAGAATAGGAATGTTGTTCTCCTAATCGGTCTGTTTAAAGCCACCTGTAGAAATAGTAAACATACTCTAAGCAAAAAAGAAGTTTCCTGCACCCGTTAGACTACCTTCATCATATAGGTACAGCTGAAAGGCAAGTAAATCCCCTGTATGCAAGTGGCCGCACTCAACACAGTCAAGGCCACATGAGAGAAAGCTATCAAGAAGGCACTGTTTGGAACTGCACTTGAGTTTTACATTATACATATGCTACTCTCATTTTGCTTGAAGAGAAAAATTGTAATACACAACAAATGGCACATGTAAAAAGTAGAGAACCATAGAAGTGGCCCATCACATGATAGTCAAGCACACGTTATCCATAAGAACAAAAAAATATATATCAAGGGCTCATTTCTTTGGTAGACATAAGATAATTAAACCAATAGTTCAATCAACTATGTTGGTTTATTCATGTCATGTTGGTTACGAACACACACACGAGTGCCAAAAAATGCCCTGAAACTGCCATTATAAAGCAATATTTTGCACTACAGATGGTCCTAGACTACATTAAAAAAAAAGATATCTTGATCTACTGCAGTATGAAAAGGTACTAACTTTTGGCTCAGACCAACATGCTAAATCAGTTGTATAGCTAGGAAAGATGCATGCAAATATTCAAAGTACACACTGTACTTCTGCTTTAAAAAAGTAAGCTTGGTACAGTGAGCACCCAGCCTATCGCAAAAAACATGGACCAGAACATATAGTAAAATCATTTATTCACCATACTCTATATTCAGTGCAAGATTCAAAGCAACATAAATAATAGAGGTGCATGCCTACAAATAGAATACACAGCCATCGGCATCTACATGCAATCAAGTGTACAAAACTTTAAGCCGAATAAAAACTTAATGCAAGGACGGGAGCAATCTTTAGAGAGGCACACAAGTAGCTCTGAAGTAGCTGTAATCAAACTGTGTAAATACAAGCCAGAACAACAAAACCAAACAAACACTTCAGACCAGTGCCACATGACAGACCTGGATGCTGGCAGGAGCAGCACCACAGTCACAGGTACAAAGACAATGGCAACACTTGCCCACATCATATAATGTGCCATAGTCAAAGACCTTTTAATAGTGATGCAAAGATAGGTGTGTGTACACTACAAAAACCACTTAGTATATGCTTCAATCCTTCAAAAACATGTGCATTAGATGCAAATTTTAGTAGTATGTACTTTTTTACAACAAAGCATTCATGCAGCTTCTGGCATGACATCAATAATTTCTCTCATTAAGCCTTATCGTGCATGGCAAGTGAGAGGGCAGCATAATGAAGGCAGTTTTAACAAAAAAAGTTTACTACTCAAGTAAAAGAAAGCATGACATATGTACATAACGGTTGAACAAGAGTGGTGCATCCTAGAGTTATGTAATGAATGTCACATATCCAATGCATGTAATCCTTCTTGTGGTAGGGGCAGTTGATGTTCGTCACCCATACTGTGCACTTATATAATTTGTGTCTGATCAATGTTTGGTGCTACTTACACACCTCACAATACTATTAACCAACTTTTTCAGCTATCAGCAATATTACCACCTCACTCTTTATATCTATGTGGTGCATTTGCAATTCTGCAAGCAATCCAGACATGATGCCAAGCTCTTGTCACATGCTCTTGTGGAGAGCTGCTAAATATAAACAAAAGGAGGTATAGACGCATTATTACCACTTATTTCAGCATTACAGAGAACTAAATGAAGTGCCTTAGTCAGGTGATAGGTATTTGGCAACCATGTGTAGTTAAAATGGTACACATTTTATGATTCTTGTTTGTGTTCATGTGTTAAGTAAATGTCGGTCATAGTACTGCATATCCATGATGTCTGTGCTTCCTCTTGCTTACTGTCGATATGTCATACTCGTAACACGAACCAAGAATCTCACAACTAACTAGCTTCTCTACCAGTGCACTACTGCTAAATATGACCTCGTCTCTTATACATATACATGAACTCAATATAATCAAGAGCTCCGATCTAGCAAGAAAAGTACATGGTGAAAAGAAAACGAACCCTCATCCCATAGTAAAAAGTTGTTTTAAATGCGAAGTGTTTCCTTGCGTACTGCGGGCACTTTGATCCTGCCCTGCCCAGTCTGCATATCCGTCTGTCTGTTTGCCTGTCTGTCTAGCTGCCTACATCTGAAGCTTTTGATTTATTTTTTTACTTGAGGTAAACCGAAATTAGTAGGGAGGGTAAAATAGTTTCATGAATATGACTCGCTGGTCATGACATGAGTAATGTCCCAATTCCGTCGCGTACGTCACCAAACTCTTTCTGCCATACGGAACACACAGCTGTGGGCGACTATGAGCCACAGGCACGAAGAAAGAAGTATTGGAGGAAAAGAAACTCCCAGGCTGCGCCAGCGGGTGAGGGCTAAGCAATAGCGTCACAGAGCGATGTGGTTTACGCCAACGCTCGACAGATGACGCCAACGCTCGGCAGATGACGCTTTCGGCCTGTTGCTATCTTTTACATGTGCTTCTATAGACGTGACGCATGAAAATCGTGGTAGCACTTTGTACGCTGCAAAAGTTTTCAGATTTTTGTGTGTGACGTGAATGACTAAATGTGACAGATATTTTAGTAGCAGTCACCAACTGATACTGCCATAACTACTGGCTGCAAAGCACTTGAAACGAGCTGCTAGTAATAGCCCAGAAGCAGACGACGTCTACCACATGCACGCGCCTCTCGCTCATCGCTCTCATGTTGTGGGTGCGCGTGCGCGGGTGGCCTTGGGAAAAAATTTTCCCCACAAGCTGTCCCGAATCCCTTCCTAATGCACAAGAATTTTGTCTTTTTAGCGCTCTCAATAGCTTCAGTGCATTACACCGGCAGCGCTGAATGATTGTGCGCGCTTTTCATGCTGCTACAAAGAAGAGCACTTTGCAGGATTCGAGCAATGCTTCTTCAAGATGGGGTGTAAATGAGCTGTGCCCAACTGCAACAGTGGTTGTGCATCCTGCAAGGGGAACGTAATGGGAAGGTAATTACTTTCGAAGTTCCTAGTGACCCGGTGACGCTAGAAGTGTGGGCTCCCACCATACCTATAGGGAAGATCACGAGCCGACGCCTCGTGACTACGTTTCTGAGAAGCACTTCTCGGACGACGATTGTGCCACACCGTGTTGCATGACATATTACATGACACTGCATGTTATCCATGTAGTTTTTTTTTTTTGAAGCAACTTCCAGCAGTGTTGCAGCTCTGTAGTAGAACAGCTGCATGCCATGAAGAATGCTTGAGTGTGATTCTAACCTAGAACGTGCCTAGAACCGAAAACATTTTCTTTTCTTTCACTTTCACAGCCATGAAAAACGTTGATTTTTCCTTCGCAACCTACAATGGCGACATTGGCCTTCCTACCACTCGAGCTCTTCAATGCTATCACATTAAAATTTGGAACTGGCGAGGACGCACTGAAACATCCAGTTGGACGTGGAGCACAAATGGTGAATCGGAGCAGAGTGGTCTTGAACGAGAGCGCGGTGAGAGCGGCGTGCGCGTTTTTTGTGTTTTTCCTCCGCTAGCGGAGTTTGGCGACAATGGGTGCATAAGTTCTTTGCCCGATTTCATGATTTTTTTCAGGGTGCCCGAGCGAGCGCAGTATCGCCTCCTTAAGAATTCTTGCTCCATGGCCACAGGTATGCAGGTATGTGCTACAGGTGATTGATAACCCAGGAACGGCGAGAACAGACATAGGTAATTTTAATGCGTGAGTGTTAAGAAAAAGCTGATATCGGCAGCATTGATCTGACGAAATGCAAAGAATAAGTGTCAGGATCCCAGCAGAAATCCAACCCCAGCATTCTACGTAGCAGTCAAGTATTCTACCACAGAGCCATGCCAGGTTTCAGAACTGTTTTTCAAATAGACCCTAATGTTCATGAAACATCAACTGTGGTTGCAGTGCTGGCTATTCAATTTTATAAACACTGCATATGTATTCCTAAGATGCAGCTGTCATGTCGAATTTAAGTCAATTGTAGTTAGACACCATTTGCTGAAGTTGATTTATATCGCAGTGTTCAGGGCTACCATCCTAGTATCAAATGATGAAAAGGGGAGGGCTGAAAGACTTGAGAAAAACTGAGTTGATAACTCAAGAACCAGAAATTTGCATGCAAGCAAATTAACCAAGTATCGCAAAAACAGCGCACGTTTTTCGCTTACTGCAAGGGACTAACAAGTGTTGCATATGAGCTTTAGTACATAATGCCCTATGGTTACAGCTAACATAAGTGAAGAAATCTGGCTACCCATTTTCAAATTCATCAATTGTGAATGATGAAAATGCAGTTTACTCTTGATGCATTGCCCAAAAAATTTAACAAGGATAATTTTCACCAGAAATCTTAAAAATGTAAACCATAAATAAACTAAAAAAGTTAGGTTACTCACCTCAAAAGGAACGGAGTCGAAGAAAATGGCAAGGAACCAGTTGAGGGTGACCGTGCAGAGCTCAATGTCAAGCTGCGCCAAATGTCGGTGCAGTCTCGGCAACTTGTCCCGCAGTAGTGTCTTGAGAACCTCCTGATCTGCTTGAGCCCCTACCAAGCTGTGGTCAAAGTAATGGGCTGTGAAGTAGCGCTCCGTAATGCCCACAAGGCACCTGCATCAAGAGCTCTTCTTATTACTCAGCTGCTCCCACACGTATGAAAATAATAGTTTTTTATACATAGTGAAACACACATAAGAACGAACCCAAGGGAATGTGGCTAGTACTTCACGTAGTGTCATTTTTGGACACATAGAAAAGCTATGCAAAAACCATGTTAAAAATATGAGAGGCACTGACCCTTCTGCATCATGTGTAATGTATAGCTAAATGCTGCCTGACTGACTGTAAAGAACATTTGTTTGCTTACATAAATCGAATCATCAGACAAGCTGCCAGCATTAATGAATATAACTATGCCCCTGCAGTGAGTCAGGCAGCAGTGAGATTTTCAGCAACAAATGCATCAGGCAGTGCATCTTGCCAAGAATATTGTAATTGGATGATGTGCTTGCAGCATTTTCTTATAGACATGCACAATTACCACAGTATCGATGCTAGAAAACATATTGAGGTGTCGTGTTCTTCTGAGTGTTCATAGAACGCACACATAAATGAAATAGAAGCCAAAGCAGAGAGAGGGTTGAATTTAGTTGTGCGAAACTTGAAGTTTTGCGAGTTCTTGCTGAAATGGAATGCCTTTTTAACCCATACAAACCCAGTATCAGAGTACACATGCCCTGTATAATATCTATTGTAAATGGCTTTGATTTATAAATAAAATGTTCTCAAAGCACAGCATTTGGTTTATTCTATGAAGTACAGAAGAAGCCAGGGTGTACCTGTTCACTAATATTTTTTTCGAAAGCATATAGTGTAATGAAATATGCTGCCTAGAGAAAAATGATCTGGTCAAAATGAATAGTTGTTTCCACACATGCTGTGGGCCCCACCCCCCCAAACCGGCCCTACCCGTTTTGTTTCAATGCTGAAGGGAAGGGCAACGAGGGGTCAATCTTGATTAAAGTGAAATCCCGAGCAAGCATTCCTATCCAAGGAAGCACCTCCTTCCTTCTTTATTTTTTTTTTCTAATAAGCGGCCTTTTCTCCCATCCCAATATTTTCAGTTTCATTCACTTTTTTTATTTACTTGATGAAGGCAAATGAAAACAGTGCTTGCATGCACATTCAATAAAGCATTTCATTAGAAGCAATGGTTTGCATTCTTTATTCTTAGCGGCTCTTATGCCGCCATCTTGAATTTTGAACCATGACCGAGCGAGCCCCCCATCTAAATCTTGTCGAAGAATCCTTCCTCGTAGGGTAGGGTGCTTGCTGGAGATTTACAGTAATAAATTTATAAAGAGGTACCACATATGAAGCTGATAGATTTGCAAGCTCCTGAATTAGGAGTTTGTCCTGCCATAAGAATAAAATACACATATAAATAAATACTGTGAAGCTTGTCTGCATCATTTAGGGTAGACTATTTATAAGCAACTTGTATTGGTAAAAGTAGTCACATATTATATGAGTATGAGATGCATTCGCAGAGCAATTAGCGAAGGTATAGAAGGATATAGAATATTGGAAATGTGCACCTGTACTTTTCTTGAAAAGTGTTAACAATGTTTGTAAATTAATTTTAATTTAATCAGAATAATGAACAGAAACCACGAATTCATATTTCTACGTAAATAATGTCGATATGATGAGCAAGACTACATAGTATTCAGCTTTTATCATAACGCAGGAATTATTTTTCCTACTACCACCTACCTACAACATCTCTAAGTCCACTGCCTGCAAGACAGAAGCCTCTTTTAGTGGTATCTAGTTACGCATACAACAAGCACTAGAAGAATCATGAACCACCCACAGGGTTGTTGAAAAAAATACATCCTGAGGAAAGCAGACAATGTTTTAAACGGCTCAGCCAAATTTTTCAGTCATGTGCGGCAAGGAGAGTGTAGAAGCAGAGTGTGTGCGAGAGAGAGAGAGGTTAATGAAAGAGGAAGAAATAAAATGGATGCTATTTTCTGCCTCCCAATGCAGGGGCATAGCCCAGCACCTTTAGGGATTGGAAAGAGGAAGTAAAGATGATAGGAAGAAGAGAAGAAAAAAGTGAAAGGTATGAAAAGGGAGAGTTGTCGGTGCAGTCGGTAGCAAGAAGCGAAAGCATTCGGTTATAAGGCGGCAAGGTACGCAAAAGCACAGAACTCAAGAAAGGCTCGGAGGGATTGTGCCTTCGAGTGTGATGTTGCTGTTTCTTCACGTGCCCTCTTTTCATAGACGCTCGCACTCACTCTCTTTAGAGCTATCATTGCCTACTCTTTGGCATTTAAAGAAAAATAAAATGCTACTGGTCAGTAGCCGACGTATGTAAAGACCAGCATTTCAATCAAATATGCTCCTTGCAATGGGATACTGCAACGTATCAGCGTCACACTCTGTAGTCTGCTAATGCCAGACAGTTGCCACACTTGCCCAAACAGGAATCACAAAGGGAGAGAGCGATTGTGTTTCATTAAGCACGCTCGAGGTCATGAAGCGTGCTGACATAACTTCTTTTTCTAGAGCCGTCTCTCGCCTTATGTTTTTTAGCATGCTTGTTGGACAAGAGAACAGAGAAAGTGCTTAAAGTTTCCTACAAATCCCTGTACCTCCACTCTTTCCTTATGGACTTGTGGCAACTGATTTGTAGGATTTTATTCGTGGCAATCAATTTGTGAGACAATGAACTCCAACAGTGAGGTCATTCAATGTTACTAGGAAAAGTGGTTCCTGACCCCTCACAATAAAGTCCATTCTATGCTTGCAAAGTTTTCATATCCCACTACTCTAGCTAATCTTCTGCCACCCTTAATGTGGTTTCCCTTCTACCTCCACTCATTGTGTCATTACTTCTTAGTAAACACCTATAGCTGTGTGCACTATGCATCATGTAACTTGTCTAATAACATTTTCTCTTTTAACCACACCTAGATTGTGTGCTGCCAACATTTACTCTCTGATTTGGTGTCATGTGCTACGTGACACCAACAGGCAGAAAAAGTGTTTAAATGCACATATATGCCCAATAAAGGGGACGGGAAGACAGTTGCTATGGTAGCTCAGTTGGTAGAGCATTGTACGCATTATTGGGAGGTTGCAGGTTCAGCCTCTGCCCATGGCAAGTTATATATTCATCCGCTTTTATTTATTCAGATTTACTTCACATTTACTAGTGCTAAGAACAGCCCCTATACTTTCCATAGAAGTGTTGTCTGTAAACAGAGATTGTTAAGGCATTTTATGTGCTATCAACACATGATGGTGAATGCATAAGCAAACCATATGATAACACTGTGTATAACAGCAAAACTAGTGCATAACAGCAAGTAAAGGCAATGTGCTTGCATAATGTCCTGGGATAAAGATTATGCTTATCTTGTTACCAATTCATATAAATGTAATACAAATAGGTCGAAAACAACATAATACTAGTTCACACTCCTGCCTCTTTTCTGCTTCGTGTTTTGTGTACAAAGCAGTCTTGTAAGAAAATTAATGATGTTTAATAGCCTAACTTGCAGCTTTCTCAATGGTCAAATATCAAAGTAGCTCAACCCTTAATTTTTTCATCTGGTTCACCCGCCTCTTGTTTTGACTACTGCTTGGGACTTCGCACAAGATATGCATTGGCACCTCTGTAACCTACCAAAAGGCATCTTCTGGCTCCATGAAAAGAAGACACATTCCAACTAGAAAGTTCATGCCCTGGCAATATCCCAGGCTGGGGTTGTGCAGGCAAATGGCTTGGAGAACTTCCTGCAGCTTGCGAATCTATAAAATATAAAGAGAAAGCAGGTTTGTTTGTTTGTTCATGTAATGTACCTAAAAGAACCAATTTCTGAGGGCGTCATAGAATAGGTAGGCTGAGAGATGTTGATGAATGTTGCACACAAAAGGAAGTGTCGATGACTTTTCATGCGGCTTTGTATGATGTATGATACTTGTAGGAAGACTGTTCCAGTCATAGGCTGTCTGAGAGATGGCGGGATGTTGTGCAAGTAGGAGGTGGGTAGAAAGCATTGTGGAGACTTATGCAGGCTCAGAAACAATGGGCATACATTAAATGGAAGAGTTATAAATAAAGGACTCAGACATTTTAAACTACAAAATCAGCTTAGAAATATTTTTGTGCAGGTGTACGTTACATAACCCTGCTTTATTTTTAAGGTTGGTAACACTGGTATAGTAAGAGTAGTCTGAGAAATTCAATATAAGTGCATGGCTTCAGGCAAGTTTGATAGACTTACTTAGGCTAATTTAGACTGAGTTCCAAATTGAACTCCCTTATTACAGATTCAGGCCGACCTCTCAGCTTTTCTGTCACAATAAACTTTTCTTTCTCCCATATTCTCCTTTTGAATGAATTAGTGCTTTGTAAGCTAGCATTATTAATCTAACTGTTGGAAAGAAAAGATATAAATTACGAAACTGGTAACCAAGAGTTCTGTTAGTATTGCCAACTATCTTACTTGCTATGTAAAAAGACCAATTTAATGCTATGAAATGTTAACACCAAGATACTTGATACAATCGAGAGATAACACAATAAAGGTATTCAGAAAATAATTTGCAGCAGGAATGTTTTAGCGTCTAAGAAACAAAATAAGTTCAGTTATGTTATTGTTTAGAACTATGAGCCAACATGCCACAACTCGTCTAGTGTTAGTAAGCCAAACTGGAGTGTATAGTATTTATCTAAAATTTTATTAATGTTGTAGTAGACTGGTAGATTAGACAATCATCAGAAAGCAGGCAAGTATTAGATGAAATATTGCCATGCAAGTTGTTGATATACGTAAACTAAAAAGAAGAGCATGCCTGGAACTGTACCTCATGACATGCTGGAGTTTACACTAGGAAGAAATGAATCCATATTCTGAGCTTCTACTCACTGATGACAGTTCCTGAAAAAGTCCTGTATCTAGTTAAAGAGAAGTGGGTTAAGATGTAATTCAGAGAGCATTAGTAGTAGGAATGTCTGAAAGACTTAATCAAAAGCTTTCTCGATGTCAATAAAAAAGGCATCAAATGGTGTGTTGAGGCCTATCACTAGTGCTTAAGTGGTCGTGGAATAGTACAAGTTGAGTATCGCATGAAAGTGATCTTTGAAATCTATGATGCTTAGTGTTTTTTAAAGCATTTAACAAAATAAGAAAAGTAGCGATTTGTGAGTAAATGATACATTCTATAAATTTTACCAGCTGCTGGTGAGTGATTTGAGCTAATAATTAGAGGTAGTATCTGGTTTTATAACTGGAACGATCTTACCCACTTTCAAGTCATGAGAAAAATGCCGGATGAGAGTGACTGTTGGTAAGTATGAGACCCATTAACACTGCAGGTTTACTTGATGTTTTTCAGCACTTTAGCAGTGGTGCCATTATTGCCCAGGTATAATGTCGGTTTTGAGGATTCGATAACTTTTTAGATTCCTTTAGGTGAATAGGCTGAAGAGATAATACATTGTACTGTTGTGTAGTTGCTAGGGGAGACATCAGGGAGGTTATCATTTAGGCTTTCCAGAGAAAATAAAAGGTTACACACAGTGTTTCTGCTATCTCGCTATTGGGATTAAGTTTCCTTTTTTACCCAAAAGGGATGAAGACTGTTTTTACTTTGTGGGTAAATTGTCTCTAGGTGTTTGTGCATATGAATGCTGACCCATTTAAAGAACTAAACTGCAGCTAAAGATGGAAACATTTTCCTCATTGAGAGCACACAAACAGTACAACTGCTTTACTGACCCTATAAAAGAGGCATTTTTTTTCTAAAACAGCCAAATGCACTTTAACTGAAACTCAGAAAAATGCACTTCTTATTTACTGCTCAAACAACTTCTTGCCAGTATGTTCCTCCCTCTTAAATACTACAAATCTGCATTGTGGCTAAAATCTACATAAACCCAATATAGTCGGTATTGAGGAGTAAAGTTTGTATTTGGCTCATATAGATTAGAACATTTCATTTGGGCATGAATAAGCTCCTAAAATAAGTGTAAAGTGATTCGAATGTACAGTACAGTGATATTATGCGATAGAATTAACATCATCCTTGTTCTTGCGTCATTGCCACACTTAGTCGTATAGGCGTAATGGTGATTAGTACTAGACTTGAAAAGCGAGTGGTCCGTTCAGGCAAAGGGCGCACTATTCTGGACTGTCATCAGTGTTTTCTGGTTCTTGGCATCTATTGAAGGGCTTGAAAATTGTTCTAGTTCGTTTTATGCCATGGCATTTCAGAACACTCCTTTATTGGATAGGTGCCCAATATCTCCATTTTATGTGTATTTTATTTCAAATATACCATATTGGAGCGGATGGAGGACATCATACTGTCGCGCTAAACTTGAAAAGAATCACTAAGAGGCTAGAAGAAGGAGGAAAGTCGGCCTCTTACTCTTGATAATCGAGTTTTGTTATTGGACATCATGTTCTCAGTAAAGGCCGACACGCCCTACAAAATCTAATTGTGGAACGTCAACACAACAAAGCAACTAGGAGACAAATAAAACATTTTGGCTGAGACCGTGTTGGTTGTTTTGGTGAAGATTGTTGGCGCAGTGCTGGTTTAATCAATGTGGCTCAGTTTGATTGAAACAGTCATCATTATTGGCAAATTTTCTGTTAGAAAATGTCTTTTTGAGTTCTTGTTACAATAAGGAATTGCCCCATTTTGAGTAGAACTCTTCTAAAAGTTGAAGATACTTAGGCTTGCTTTATGTTCCTGTGAAATTTAGCCTAGTTTTGGTTTCTGCATTTAGCCCTTTTTGAAAAAAAAAACACCTCAAAATCTTTCAGTTTTATTGTAACAACTTAATAATATAAGTAAGCATGCTCCTGAATGGACTACATTTCTTTTCAAAGTATGCATTTATCCAAGCTCCACCACACATGACCTTTATACCAATGCACTCCAAAATTGTTTCCAAGGGTTATCGATAGTCAAGAAAGTTCTGCTCTATTGTGACACCATGTAAATCATATAGTGTGGTTCACTGGTTTATCTCACTACCATAAAACTACCATAAAATCGAATACCATAAAACTACTATAAAATCGAATAAGGGTGCATCTGACTGCCTTCTTAGACTGTTAAAACTACAGATATTAAAAAATATTGCATAATACAATATATATAATTATCTTTAAAACTAAAACAAGAAAAATTGATACAAAATACCAAGTCCTAACCTAAAGATATATTTGTCAGTGTAAAGAGGTCCTGAAACATCCTTCATGCTTGGTGAAAACACATATAGCAGAAAGCAGCTGCTGCTGAGAACAGCTCAATTAAATCTTGTAGTCATGCAGGGCAAGGAGAGCTCACAAGTGCAGCTAAAAGTGGCCACTTTCTTCAGCGCCCTCTCTTCATACAGATGAAGCTCACGCTCTTCAGATGGCTGTCACACAGCATAACTTTATCACACAACAAATTCCTGCTATTGGTTCATAGATCCTACTAAACCAAGAGTGGCATTTTAATATGTGCTTCTTGCCATGGCGTGCCACAGATGCTGGGGCACTGCACTCTAAAGCCTGCTAAAATGACATATCTGCGACACTAGCCTGCTCCAGAATCAACCCTAGAGAAAGCAGTCATGTGATGTAGCTTATTTCCCCCACATCAGCCCTCCAGCGTGCTCATTGGGACAAAAGAAGACAGAAGGCACTTAAAGTTCACAACCAATCCTTATAATGATGAAAACTAACAGACAATAATGCCAGGGAAAGCATAGGGGACATTATCAGAAGTAATTGCAATGCAAATGTAAAAAAAAAAGTGGACGAAAAAACAACCCACCACTGGCAAGACCCATACCTGCAGCCCTCGAACAACGCATCCCAAGCTCCACCACTGAGCCGAATAACTCTCCTATTTTTAGATGAATTTGAGAAATTTTCGCGCCGATCAATTGATCCGAGAAGCAATAAACTCCAATAGATAATTACCTGCAGAAGTGGTTCAGGATCACTTTAAGATTGTTCAAGATTTTTTAAAGAAAACCTGCTGTAATGACATTTTGCACAAAGCATACCTTGAGACATGCAGGCAAACCCACATTAGCTGTGCACATAAGAACTGTGCAACCATTCCCAGGTAAGAATATGAAAGTATGACAAGCAACAGGCACTGCATGTGTTTGGACAACCTTCAATGTCAAACATATGCATCAAGTTGAACTTTTGCACTAAGGGCCACCTTCAGGATAATGTTTTGGTTGACTGCATGATTGCTGGACAAAGCTTTCAGATGAAATTGAGTGAACGAGTGCTGTATCAAACAAAAAGTCAAGTGCTTGTAATTGATCTGCGTTGGGCCATATTCTGTTCTTCAGTGACAATGAGCATCATGTTTTGTTTAATATAACAATGCCCTTACATGAATATGACTGGTTGATGTAATAAAATATGTGTTATGAGAATAAAGTGAGGAGTGCAATAAGTGAAAAAACCAATATAAAATGTAACAAATCTTTCTAAACTACACTAGCAAAAAACTAAAAATAGTACATTTTTTTCAAAATTACAAAATAAATGAATATCCACAACATGCACAGCATATTAAATTCATAGGTATAAGTGTAATGGATAAACTGTTTAGCGAGCATGATACTTACTTGACTGCACAGTCCCCATATAGTGTATGGCAACTATGCAACAAGGTAAGCATTATCGCATAATTTTCTTCTGGAGCTCCCTGGTTTATTTTATCGAGGAACAGATTTATGAACAGACAGTTCTAAGCTGGCTAAATGTACAATCTGCCTCTGCATTCAAATAAGAGAGATCAAGTTAAAATTTTTTAGTTTGCTACATTCAAATGTCGAGTTCTAAATCATACAGCACCTCAAAGATAGCCATACAGGTCAACATATGCCCATAAAGCTCTGATGTAGTGCTTTTCAGTACTCAGTCTTCTAAGTGACCTTCAAAGGATTGTATTCATTGCCTTGTTGAGTAACAAGCACCTCATCTTGAGAAAGATTAGCAGATGGCTTATACTTTAGTGTGTGCTGTGTTCTCATTGCTCAGTCTTTGTTGAAATGATGTACGGCATGAAGGTTATTTAGCTCATTTCGGTGGCTGCTTTTCCCAATGTGAGCGTTTCATTGCATTTAGCCAGAGTGCATGCTGAACAAGTTGGCTTCTAGGCTTTCTCTGCATAATGTTTCAATTTATTGCAATCACATCCACTAATTCTCCCTAGTGCCAACACTGAGACATTTTTTCCCCCACATAGGTACCCGCTTGTAAATTTATTCACATAAGCATATGAATTATTACATGCTTTTCTGGGAAACTCGGCAATGATTGTTTTTTGCATGTCTCAGCACCTTTTTTAGGCTTGGTTTACATATTCTGTAGCAACTGACAGATGACTCTTCATTCACGTAGTTCATGCATGTTCATGATGAGCTAGCATAATTGTCTTTTCACTTATTATTTCAGTGCTTGTCTTTATCTGTACCATTAGAATGTATGTAGTTGACCAGCCTTGCACTGTTGTCTTAGAAAAGTATCCTCAATAATAATAATAATAACTGAGGTTTTACATTCCAAAACAAAGACATGATTATGAGAGATGTTGTAGTAGAGGGTTTCAAAAATTTTGACTATCTGGTCTTTAATGTGCACGGACATCACACAGTACATGCATCTCTACCATTTTACCTCCATCGAAATACAATCGCCACAACCGGAATTAAACCCGGGACCTTCGCGTCAGCAGCCAAGCACTATAGCCTTTGTTCCATCGAGGCGGACTCAATTCAATGCATTCTGTAGAATGTAGATGTCTAACAGGGGATGTCTAACACCACTTAGAAATAAATAAAGCACTGTAGAGTGTGACTTACCCCATCGGCATCAGGGCTGCTAAATCTAACATTATTTGGCAGCGTGCGCAAGAGGTCAAGGGATATCTGCCGCTTGTTCTGAGACACCACCTAAAAGCAAGCATGTACCCATCATCAAAGCACATATGCATACTAAAATAAAACAATTAGCTTAGTTAAGCATGTCTGCTCAAATCACCACTGCTTATTTATTAGCGTTACAGATAAAATTTAGGCTCTTGTTTGCAAAGTGTCCAGGTTACATACGGTGTTCCGGATGTATGTTCCTCCTACAGTACAACTGAAATTGTCAACACATACAGAATGTGTCTAAACGATTCCTACTCCAGATGTGTTGCTGAAAATGTTTTGACCTAATTTGCGAAGCGCAGCGTGGCTTACTGTACCGTGATATACTTGCCAAGGAGAAACGAAATTCACATAATTTCCGGTAAAAATTGTTTGGATAGACTCCAATAAAAATGAAAGTAAGTTAAACAAAAACCTCGATAGTTGTAAATGCTACTACAGAAAGGGCTCATCCTGCTGATGTGTCACTCCTGTTAGCATAATGTATTTATTCGAATCCAGGCAAATAGATTTTTTTCAATTTTTTTTTATCAAACTCCACGGTTGGCTTAGATTCGAGGATTTTGAAAAACGCACCATTTTTCATTGAGAAAAGTGGTGCACCTGGATGGTATTGCAGCCATTAGTAGTCGAGCCAACACCTGGCTAGAATGTGCTAGAACTGATGAGTTAGAGTGTGCTAGAATTGTTGAGTGGCTTGAACGCGCCTCGCTGCGCGATTCCTTCTGGGTCCACCGCAGTGGCGGTGGTGTAGCCGATTATTACTGAAAGCAAAGCATGCTGTGAGCAAGAACGGCTATACGCTTCAGCTTCCCCAGTGTGCCTTTTAACATGACTGGTTTCGAAGAAATTCCGGCGTTGGTGTTGGTGTCGCTGGTTGTGAGCTAAAAATCATCTTATGCATGATCAAAAAGCTATCATCATGATCATTATCATGAGCCTGACTGCGCCCAATGTAGGGCAAAAACCTCTCCCATGATCCACCAATCAACCCGGTCATGTGCTTTCTTCTTCTATTTTATACCTGCAAACTTTTTAATCTCATCAGCCCACCTAACTTTCTGTCTCCCCCTCACGCATTTGCCTTCTCTAGAAATCCAGTCAGTTACCCTTAAAGGGGCCTAGCAACACTTTTTGAGCATTGTCAGAAAAAGCTGCTGATTGGTAGTAGAGGCTCCTGACAACACACCAGTCAAATATTATAGCGCAGCATGCAGCCTGGAATTCACAATAAATGATCAAAATCAGCTAAAAATTGCTTTCTCTTCTTTTGACAAATGATAGAAGATGCTAAAAAATTATTTGTAAAAAGCCCATTTATCAGCCGTTAGCTGATTTGAACATGGTAGGCTCGGTGGTTACAGAGATCGCCGCGAGAGGCCGCAACTTGTCCACATATGCGCACGGTCACACTGAAAATGCCGCATATTAAAAAAAAAGTGCTCAAGATCACGAGGCGTGCGTGACATATTTCTTTGCCCCTTTCATCTCTCTCTGCTTAGCTTCCAGTGCTTTCATTGAGATGAGAGAAAAGAGAATGCGTTGGCAGTGTGCGACAAATCTTTGTAACTCAGCGCGTACAAGACAGATTCCTAAAATTTTTGCGGCATTGAATTCGTGAGGCAATAAGCTCTTCCAGCGAATTCGTTCCGCGGTTACTTGAAAAAGTGTTTCAGGGCCTTTTAATGACTGGTGGTTATCTTACATATGCGCTACGTGCCCAGCCCATGTCCATATCTTCTTGATTTGAAGTATGATATCCTTTACCCCGGTTTGTTCCCTGACCCACTCTGCTCTCTTCTTGTCTCTTAAGGTTACACCTATCATTTTTAATTTCATCGCTCGCTGCATCGTCCTCAATTTAAGCTGAACCCTATTTGTAAGCCTTCAGGTTTCTGCACCGTAGGTAAGTACCGCTTAAATGCAGCTTTTATATACCTTCCTCTTGAGCGCTATTGGTAGATCACTATTCATGATTTGAGAATGCTTGCCAAATGAGATCCACCACATCTTTATTCTTCTAGTTATTTCACTCTCATGGTTCGGCTTCACGGTTACTACCAGTCCTAAATTCCTAAATAGACATATTCCTTTACCACTTCCAACGACTTTCCACTTATCACAAAGCACTGTTTCCTGGCGAGACTGTTGCACATTACTTTGATTTTATGAATAATATTAATTTTCAGGCCTACATTTCTACTTTTCGTGTTCAATCCTGTAATCATGACCAGCAATTCATCTCCTGAGTTAGCCATCAAAGCAATGTCATCCGCGAATCACAGGTTACTAAGATACTCTTTATTAACTCATATCCCAAACTCTTCCCAACCTAGGGCCCTGAAAACCTTCTGTAAACACGTGGTGAATAGCATTGATGAGATTATGTCTCCCTGCATTACAGCCTTCTTGAGATTCTGTCGCTTTCTTTATGGAGGATTATGGTGGCTGTGAATCCGCTGTAGTTTTCTTCCAATCTATTTATGTAAGCTTCATTGATGTCCTGATTCCGTAATGCCTGCATCACTGCTGATGTCTTGACTGAGTCAAATAATGCCTTCTCGTAATCTATGAAAGCTATGTATAGGAGTTAATTGTATTCTATGCATTTCTCTACCACCTGATTGATAGTATGAAATAGTCCATTGTGGAGAAGCCTGTACGAAATCCTGCTTGGTTATTTGGTTGAATGAATTCTAATGTCGTCCTATTTCTAATAGCTATTATTTTTGTAAAGAGCTTGTAGAGAACGGACAGTAAGCTGATCGGTCTGTAATTATTTAAGTCCATGGCGTCTCATTTCTTATCGATTAAAATGATGTTAGCATTTTGCCAAGATTCTGGTACCCTTCCCATCAAGAGACACTTCATTATTAGGTGGCCAGTTTTTTTAACACAATCTCTCCACCATCTTTTAGCAGATCCGTTGTTACGTTATTTTCCCCAGCAGCTTTGCTTCTTTGCATTGCTTCCAGAGCTTACATTACTTCCCCTGTCATTACTGGTAGGATGTCGAATTCCTCTGGTATCATCTTCTTACGGTATCAACCTGGTTGTTTTGGCTTCTGTACAGCTCTCTGAAAAACTCCTCCGCCATCTCAACTATCCTATCTATACTAGTAACTTTAAAAAGATGGAGTTTGAAACTATCCTATCTATATTAGTAACTTTAAAAAGATGAAGTTTGAAACAATTAAAAGGAAACCAGACAAGCTACTAGTAATGTGAAATTGAGGACTGATAAGCAGTTATGTAGTATTGTACAACGCTAAGAAAGTGCGACGAAATCCGTGCTACTACGAGATAGCGCAGTAGCCTAACAGGCAAAAAGTCCGCAGTTCTAATGCCGGTGCTGGGCAATTCTCAACCATATATGAATTACAACGCGAGACCAGGCAACCATTGAGAAAAAAAAAAAGGTCTGGAGTGCATTCTCACTGGCGACCACCTGCCGCCAATGCACTCTCTCACCAGAGCAGGAGCAGCCACCCTGGTGCATTACTTGGCCACCACCTCCCGTGACCGAAAAATCGAGAACGATGCAAATAAAATAAATGATAGAAAACTGCTGGGTCAGAGTGGGGATTGAGCCCGGGTCATTTGCGTTACAAGAGGGTGTTCTACCACACGGCCACGTGTCTGCTTGTGAATACAGTGGAAATAACTTCCTCTGTTTGAAAATTAATTCAAAGTGACCTTCACGTTTTACAAACACACGTGTCCTGTATACAGGCTTCACAATACACCATAAAATATTGCAGCAATGATCCGTGGTACAAGCGCCCATTGCCAGCGCACGTCAGAGCATGCGATTATCATGATGACTTCGTGGTTTAACTCTTTCGTTACCCCGCCTATTCAAATCGATCACTGGTGATTGACACTTTTGATCGTAGAATTTGGCTTGTTGAATTTGTGTCTTGTGCACCCAGGGCTTTCCAGTAGTTAGTCCAGCCACTCAACTTTCAGAATCAATTTGAACTTGCATGGTGATTCTTGACAGAAATTTGCACAAACCAATCTGTGTGTGTTGTTGGGAAAATTCACTTGGCTGGTGAACTTGACAGAAGTGTGTGCCTCTCGTGGTTATTCTACAGTAACATCAAATTTCTTTAATCACAAGAACTTTTGCAAGTCAAATATCAAATTAAATGAAGGTGTCAGCTAGCAATCTGACAGTGTTGAGCGGTAATAATTGCCAGAATTTTATGCCAGCCATTCAGTAGAGAGCTGTTGATAGGATTCGGGAAAATTTTCTACGAAAAAATATTTCCGAAGGTCCGCCACATGTATGAACTGTACAGGTAGCCTTCACAGCCAGTTTCCAGCAGCTTTGGTTTCCTCTAGTGTCACTAGTCGCTGCTATAATGGCACCGTCAAGCGTGCGTGGGTGCGCACCTGCACTGCGAAAAAAACAAAAAAAAATGCTCTGCCCAAAACTGTCTCCCAAGTGCCCCTGATTTGAGTGAGGATGAGCTTAGAGTCCGAGCATAGCGGTGCCTCAGTTTCAAGTTTTCTGGCGACAATGTTTTGTGTCAACTTCAGACATCCGTAGCCATTCATGGGTTTGTTTTGTTTATGGCCTCAAGTTGTCTCTTCCGCCGCAAGTGCGTAGCTGCTGACCTTTGTGCACAACCTTATAGCTACTCTGGTTACGTGCGAGGTCCACACATCACTAGGGCATGGGCAAGGGCATGGAATGCAGTGAGAAGGCAACATAATCAATGGTCATTAAGAGTAATGGACTGTACCCCCAGAGAAGAAAGGCATGGTAGGGTGCAGCAGGAAATTATATGAATGGATGAGATTAACAAGTTTGTGAGGATAACATGGCTGCAGCTGGAACATAACCGGGCTAATAGGAGAAACACAGGCCTGGCCTTTGAGCTACAGTGGGCTTAGTCAGGATGGTGATGATGATGATGCCCCTTAAACATAAGCCCTTTCTTTGCTATGTTCAGGCATGTTCTGACAAAGCTAGGTATGTCCTAAGATAATAGACGGCCCTCATTGGTTTGTGC